AGACGCTTTGAGGACCTGTGTTTTTCAATCGTTGGATCGAACAGCTGGAACCTTACCGGCTGTGAAGTGTAATTCCTCTGCTTAGTTTAGAGTCGCGGTGGTATATCGAAGTCCTGGAAGTATTTCAAAGGAGATTACTGAGTATCTGGGCATTTATTCTACGAACAGGTGTCTATTTGTAGACGATTTCAACCTCATTAAGATCTGTTGAGCTGATCTTTCCTGCAACTTAACATCAGGTAAGTCTGATGCAGATTTTCTTGAGTTAATGCTTCAAATACCGTTTCACTAGTTCCTGGACCTCCCCATTAGATACAAGGACACCAGATCATTGTCTAGATCTCGTTTTCGCCAACCCAGTCGACATCTTAAGTGGCGTTACATACGGTACGCCTTGGGTACCAGTGATCTTGTATGCATAGCCTTTCAGTGTGTTCTTTCTAATCATTATCAAGTAACCTTTGAGTTACCTCAAAATCTTTAACAGGCAGACTATAGTGCAAGCGAGACAAGGCCTTCACTTCTGAACTGTGATCTCGATGGCCTAATCCATACAGTTGGCATGGGGGAAAATAAAGGCACACTTCCTTAAACTCCATTCATGAAGACAAGGAAGATACGGACACAGCCTCCATGGATAGGTCCGACTGGCAAATACCTACACTGCAAATGACCTAGATGTTGGCAAACCTACCAAGTAGCTCCACCAGGCAGAATCGCTGATAGTGTTAAGAGCCTACAAACAAACTTAAGCAACATTTGCGAACTTCCCGTCCCCAGTAAGAAGTGGGTTTAACCCATTCAGCCGTATCAGATCCGAAGTAGTTCTTTGCTTAGGTTAAGAGGCAGCTCGGCGTGACTTCGTTTATACCTGGTCTACCGCGAGCAGACAGGACCCGTGTACCAACTATGATAAGGAGTGTATACTTAGTGATCAAAATACTAAGGCATTTCCTCTTGAGACTTATATACCACAAGTTGAACTGGTTTCAAGTCTTCTGGGGGATTTCTTCCCAGCTGTGTTTAACGTAACCATGACTAGTGTCTTCGGGCTATCGAAAGGGCTAAAACCATCTATATCTTCTTGGCCTGATTCATCTCGTCCAAACATGTTGAATGGATTGGTCACTAAACTAAGTTGTCCTCACATATGCGTATTTATGAAATCACTTGAAATGAAGAAAGGTATCATTAATCCGCTTTTTGAGAGCTCTGACCGGAATTTGCCTGTGAAATAGTGACCTGTCAGCTTGACAAGTTATTTGATAACATGGTGAGGGATTTATTGAAGAGCCATTTGAATAGATTTAATTATTCCAGTGCTCCGCAACACGGATTCCTCAGGGGATTTTCATGTTTGACAAATTTAGTTGTAATTCGTGAAAGGTGGACCGATGCGGTAGACAGTGGCCCCGCTACAGGCGTACTGGTTGTGTACTTCCGAAAGTTTTGACTCTGTCCCCTGCCTTTAACTCCCCTAGAGTTAAACTCTAGCCTGATATCTTCTCGCACCCTTAAATGAGTGTCTGGTATTCTCGAGTGGAGCAAAAATTGTGTACACGGAGGGCGTAGCCATTTGCTTTGGCACGCTGTTCTTACTAACTCACAGCAGTGCGCGGAATTAAGGTCATTGCTCATCGCAATCTACGCAAGTGATATGTCTGAGGAGCTTGGGGTACCATCACTATATTTTGCTGACGGATTTGGGCTCCGGAGTACTGTGGAAGTTGTCCCGGGGCGGGGTCTGGCGCAATTCAGTGCTTTGGAGGGGCTCTAACACTTGTTCTTACCCAAAAACCTGCCCAAGTAGGCTGTACTCTTGTAGTCTTGTCAGGAATGCTGTGTTTGGCGACGTATAATTATTGCTGGCACCTAGTAACTTGATCCAGGTATCGTGTACATGCCGACCCTTCGCTCTGACGACATTTGGAAGAAGACTGTCTGTAGAGAGTTTTGTAGAATATACCTTCTGCACTGCTGTTTCGGAGTTGTAACGACCGATATGTTTGTGAAGCTATTGTCAGAGTTCTCGAGACCCTGCTTGTATTACTGTGTCTAATCTAGTCCACCATGTTTTGTACGGGACAAAATAATACTAGAGAGGTTTATGCGAGTTATATTAGGATCACGCAGTGTTTACGCGGACAGATGTATCCAGAGCGTCTGGTTAGTTTGGGGATGTACTCAGTGCACTACCAAGGGGATTAGTATGGACCTGATCCTCCCTTTCCGAATTTCACCAGGAAAGATTGGCTCGGAGTTGTCTTGGTCTTTTAATTGCTCTAAGTTACCTAGTCTCTGAAACCACTCATTCAGCTACATAAGCTACATTCTAATCTGTTTAGGACGGAAACTCGTCTGTCGCGTCGACCTACTGAAGGCTGAAATTCGTCTCCGGAACTTGTGGTTGAGAAACGTGACGTTGATGGTTTTGCGCACCATCTCGATGCTGTTGGATGGTGAAACGAAATCTTTCCTTTCCCCAAACTGACTCCTATCTTCAAATTTCAATTTTATTTTTCCTAATTCTTCACATACCTTTGTTATAACTATTTAGCCGCCGTTTACTTCTTGCCAGTTGATTTTACTGCTTCCTCTTTCTTACTACACATAATCGGCCCAGTAGGGACTGCTAGTGCATTATACGTGCACCGCACTTGATTGGCCAAGGCTTGTTGAGGTGTTGTTTTTGGATTCATTCAGGTTTCACAGAGCCCTGTCTAATTGTGGTTCAACGATAATTAAAGTTGGAACTTTCGCTGTGTTAACTTGTCGTTCCAGTTTCACTTGAAGTTGAGTACTTCTGCACGATAGAAGACGGAGAATTCATTCCTAGCCTTCCTCATGGTCAAAGTTTTGTGTATATGGCAACTTACTAATGCTTTGAATGGAACAATCACCCTGAGGCGGTTGCGAACAAATCCGCTTACTGACACATTGGCTTAATGCCGAATGGTCCTACCTGCGATGGATGTGCTGGGTGAATGCTAAACTAAATGATGGACCACCTGGCTAGAAAGCTTAGAATGAGTAGTAGTTCCGTTGCAACCGCATACCATGATGGGTTGTTAAACCGCTGGGTGAAAACGTAGTTAGCCAGAGCAGCTACAATCAGAAAGACTGAAGTGCAAACGTGATATTGTTGCTCTTCAAAGTAGGATTTCAGAATGGAATGGCGGCGACAATGGTTTAGCAAATTAGACCCTTGACAGGTCGAAGAGTTGAGCAGTATTGATCGATCCTTGTGCGATGGAGAAAGAATATAAACGACGGGAGTATCCTTCACCCTATCATTAGGTGTTGCTGACGGCAGCCTCCAAACTAAGCTTGTCACGGAAATCCCTTCTTAATGCGGAACACTGACCTTTCAATTATGCGGCAACTCAGAAAGCGAGCGTGACAAGTGTAAAAATCTGAAGAATAATTAGTCCAGTTGAAAGGAAACAGCCGACATATTTTGCTCATCTCAGCGAAATCCCACTGACAGATGAGGGGCTAAAGAAGGAAATGTCACATTACTGTGGACATTCTGTTGCTGAGTAAAGTTCCCCGTTACTATTCTGAAAGAGGAGTGGTGTTTTTGTTTACTTCCCTATACCACAACCAGGAATTCCAGTTTACAGGGCAGCGCGTAAGATACTTCTCAGTCGGGCGACCTTATAGTCTGTTAACGATCAAACTAAGGATGGTCTGTCCTATTTCCAATGCATTTGAGAAATTATGTGGGTTGATCGGTTGCATCAATGATACACCTACGACCGTGGCTAAAGGTGAATTGTTGTTGGTTATGAATTGGGTCAAGATCTGACTGACCCGAAATTGGTGTTGACAATCAACTGTACGATAACCATACTACCCATCGTCAGAAGTAACTAGGGGCATCCAGACTATTCTCCAACACATCGGCTATTGTACTTCACTAATAGTTGTCTACAATGGCTAAGTTTTCGGGGAGAGGACGTTTGATCTCCTCCACAAATTCCAATTTCGGCGGGGACAATGACATCGCATTCGGTTTGCGCCATCTCAAGATGAGCGGATACCACCTGTCTAAGATTAAATGCAGAGGGCTTCAATTTGTTGCTACGTAACAACTTCACAATCGTTCTGGAATAACGACGCTGGTGGATACATTCGAAGAGGAAGGATATTTCCACACGCTTACAAAAACCTTACATCGCAATTTTACATCTTAAATCACACAAACAGACTTGTGGGTTTACTCGAGAAATCGAATTTGTCTGCGTTGTGACCGTTGCTTAAGTTAACATGACCGACCATGCGGATATTTAGAAGCGTCATTCAAACAGCGAAACGAATCAATGAGGTGCGCTTATATTTTATCCCCTTTGGACTCCTGTTTTTTAGAGACGACCGGAGAGCAGTTGAGGTCACACAAACAACGTGGGATTCCAATCCCTGTAGACCGGAAAGAAAAGTCGTGATAGCCGTCTGTCAGAAAACAGAGCGAAACAAATCAACATAGCAATAATAAAGTAGAGGGATTTGCACCACCTCTTAATTCTAGGAGTGACCCACTACGCAAAGCGCAAACCGTTACCCACCATATGCTTTCATCCGGTTGTACATGTCCAGCAGAAGCTCAACTTCGCAATCGGACATACGGCTGGAAAAACTACGAAAATGCACCTTGTCCCAAACCATGTCACAACTAGTTATCTGCTCCACCACTGCTAACAATGTTTAAACTGTTTTCATCAGTCTCTCACTAGTAAAGACTCAATGCCAAAGGTGGAAAAACGGATTACATTGCGGCATTAAAAATTCAGCATCTCCATGAAATACGACCTACTCTAAATGTGCAAGTGGTTTACCACGTTAGTAGATTAGTGTAGTTCATGGAGATGGTCGGAGCTGCTAATTCGCCTGTACAAGAAGTACTTACCAATATACTCAGTACAACAAACTTCTAGACTTGGTCATAAAGGTGGAACTGTAGAACAGCATAACAGAAGCTATCTTGTTTGATAGCCGCTTACCATCCAGAATCTATTTCGAAATCGTAGCATAAAGTGGACTTCAACGCATTCGTTCCGTCAAACCCTCCAACCAAGTACACTCTGGTTCCAATAAGCACACAGCCAGCATATACGCGTCTTGGAATTTCACCGAGTAGGCTACCGGCGCTCTCTAACAAACTTGAGTCAGACTTCACGATGGTATCTGGACCGTCGGGGACCAACGAACTGCGAAATGTACTCAAAGCGGACACCAGCTCTTCTGCAGATTGTCTCGGACTTGATTGGTTTGAGGCGACGTGCATTGTCGGCGCTTCCGTTGTTGCCTGCTGTTTCGCAACTTCGAACCAGTCTAGCTCAGGAGCCTGAGCCTGAGCTCCGGCTTCAGTCCACAAAGTCCATGTGTTGGCTCGTGGGTTGTACACCTGAGCTGCTGCTCGCGGGCCTTCACCATCACACCAACCGCCAAATACCATCACCACCTGAAACGGACACAGCGATAAGGGAAAATGTCACTTGCAGCTAGTCGGGTGTGCCGAGCAGTCAATAAGCATCGCATACGGTTGAACGCCTGATGTATCGGAGAGTGTAAGACATAAGTGTCCGATCTATATGTAACTAAGAAACGAAAAATGCTGACCTGTCATGAGGAATATCTCGAGTAGATGAGAATTAGTTACTGTGAAAGACATCGGAGACAAGACTTAGCGAACAAGCTTGTTCTTAGGGGTTCTTCATCGAGTTGACATAGGCATAATTGAGAAGGCTAGAACAGACGCACGACAGTTAGACACAGTGAACCACAGGACGGAAATTCTAACTGATGCAGCTACATAATTGGTGTGCGCAAACTGAAGCCGAATAAAGTGGGGTGGTCGGCCCCGTTAGCTGTGGCCATCAATGGTTAAGGTACACCGAGGGCCAGAACAAGTTTCTGTGCACATAGATGAGTTTGGCTATAGCATAGATCTGCGTTTTGGAGCTGAATAAGGATCGGCTCTGCTATCAGTAGCAAGTGACCTCTGACCACTCGTGTATAGTGTCCTGGTACACAATACGTGGGCTGCGAGGCATCACTCAAATTGGAGAGACGACCATGTCACTGTTCCTAAGAGTCCGAGAATATTGCCCAGCTTGGCTCTACAGGGGTGTGAGGATGACTGTGACGAGGGCACCAGCCCGGGTTGTTGGGATAGAAGCAGCCTAATGATGAGTTATTGAAAACAAGTTGGTCCGTTAGCCGTTGCTTTAGATAAGTGATAGTCCACCATTGGTCCAGTCGACCACTCGCGCCCATTCACTCTTTGCCTACTTCAGTTGGCCTCACAAACTCTGCCTTCACCCCTTAGTCATCACAACAACGGAAATGAATCAGCCCTTAGTCAGGTAAGTAATTAGCTTGTGTGCATTCAGTCACCCTTCCGACAGCGAGCATGAATTGTGGGATGATCGGCGCAGGTCCGAACGATTTCTTCTAGCCAACTAAACATAGCACATGCATTGTGCTCCAAACAGAAATCAAGGAGCAGTAACCAGGGCACTCGGGTACTTAATTACTCAGTTCTTTACAGAGATGGAATTTTGCTTCTGTGAGCATTCTGGCCAAGATACCGGTCAAATCATAGGCTAGGTTACGGGAGCTTGATGTGTTGGCACCTCAACCGGGCGTCCACCTCATGCCATTAAACCAGTTTGATCTTGGTTCAGGTTGAGTGAAGTTCAGTCACTGATCAAGCATGATCTTATTGCTAGAGTGTAACGGAATCCTAGTTAATCTTATGAAGAGCACCAAAGTGGAACTAATAGATAGCAAGCAAAAGCATGTTGAACGGAAAAAGGTGCATGCGGAAGAATTCATACAACAAAGAAATGAAAAAGTTTGCCCACTAGATAATGCAGTTAACGGATGGGTACCGTATACGAACGTTAGATCCTCAGTGCTTCGCAGCCGCAGCATATTTGAAACTTCCTTACTATGGGGTTCCTATGCGTGAAGGGTGCACACACTCTGCCAAAGGAAATTTTCTGGTCAAATTATGTGATTCGTTTTGCCATGGATCTACTTGAGGTTTTTCCAAGACTAGCGTAATATTGTTAACCATTAGACATTCTAGCTTGACTGTCGGCATGTTCCTAGAAGGGCCACTGATAGAGCGTTCAGCTTCAGCATACGATATAAGCGTACTATCCGGTGGCTTGTAGCCGAGGTATAAATTGTGCGCTCAATCGCTTTTTACTTGGGGGTGCTGTGGGAAGCAAGGTTGGCGGTACAGACGCCAGTTGGTAACCTCAACAAGCCTCTTCTCCGCGATCAAAGAAACAAATATTGCATTGTACGTAAAGATTAGTGAGACCTCAAAATGCCACATGGGCCTAGCTGGTGTGTTTAGAAACCTGTTCTAGAGTTTACCAACTCTGGATTACAGAGCTAATACGATTCATGAAGCGATAGAACAAATCGCCTGGTTGTCAGCTCTTGGTGAGTTCAGTACTATCGACCTACTCATGAGGCACTGGTTTGTATTTTATAGCTATGGAGCGTATGCTTATGCATGTAGAGCTGTAATTTGATCAATCTACACGCGATTTTTTAGCAATTCGCCCCGAGAAATCGTATTGTAGTGTTTGTTTATTTTCTACGCCTAATTAGTCACCGGAATGAACCTAAGCGAAAGTAGATGAACTAGGATGGACCCAAACACTCATGATGTTTTCCATTAAACACTTGAAACAAATTAAAGTATACTGGTTTGACAGGTCTAACTTATCACAACGAAGTTAGGGAACTAATTTCCATGACTTCCGAACACAACCGTGTTTACAGTACAAAGATCTGAGGGTAGAAAGGAGATTACTCATTATACACTACACTATAGGCGACTATCACGGGCATACGGGTCAACTGAAGTAGAGTTAGACTCAAATTTCGGAGAAAGTGCAGTTGTAGACTGTCCTTAGGTACGGTGTTCCTCCAGCATTGGGCACTGTGAAAGCATTTACAATAAATGTTTTTATTGAGCGCCATATTCCTTTGTCTGTCTACAAACGAGCTCTCTGGTGTTATCGGAGCCCGCGGTCAATCTAGATTGTCACAGTACGCTATATTGTCATCTTTACTTACCTATCACACGTCACTAAAACTGTCGTCTTGCCTGCTGCAAGTATTAGAAGAGGTAACCGATAATGACTGACTCCTGATTCATGTTCCCTACTTACGTGTGTTGCTCTTGCATCCCTTCCGACCATCACAACGAGCTCTCCTTCTATGATCCCAACCTGAGTGATGACAATTGCCGTTCTACCGAAGTTTTACCGACTGCATCGGTCACTGCATTATAGTACTTACTTCTTGTCCTTGGCAACTTTCAACCTTTACACATAATTACACAGAGCCATAGGTTGTAGTTGCATGTACACTGGATAATCTGTAGGATTTTTCAGAGCAGTGACGGTTCTTTCTTGATTACCGTATTATCTGCACTTAGCTGCTCTTCTCCTTATTTAGTGTACGCTTCGAGGTACTGATTCCTTAACTACAGGTCAAGCTGGTGTGACTATTATTCTCATCAGGGATGAGTTCCGGTTGATTGATTGAATTCTAATAAACATATGGTTGTCTTCAAAACGTTTAGCCACGTCCACCGTGGTTAGTTCACACAGCAGATTTTAATTGGTGGTCGTATCCTATACCCCAGCGGACTGCAGTCTGCTGGGGTATAGGATGCAATACGTCCACTGCAGATGTGGCTATGCCTTTGGGGAATATAATTGTGCAGTTAGGTTTAGCGGGTTGTGAAGTAACATGAATTTCATTGAATAATAAAGACCTAGGATAGCCATGGGACGATCAAGGTTTAGAACTCATCATTATCATTATGCACATTAGCTGAAAAAGAGAAACACCTCAGCTCTTGTGTCGCAATACATGGGAAAGGAAAAAAGCCACAACAGAGGCATATCAGATGAGCCACCGGTAGCGGATGGACGCCGTCCCGGAAAACTAACAGCGGGCCATCCACCCTTACATAAGTTATATTGTGTTTCCGAAATGAGAACGGACTGGAAAGCTACGCGAGAGGGGAGGGACAAAGAAACACACAGCACAAACGCTACTGATGTCGGTTCCTATCCATGTCAGCAAGTTTATCCAGCCAAAGGTGTTAATCGTCCTTCAGTCCCCAAGCAGGGAACCTGGACGCTCCAAAAGAGGCCAACATCGGAATAAAGCCTTTCATTCCTCTTGACAAAGTCATCGTTTGGCCACCTCTCCACCTCTTCCATCCGCACCCCCGGCGCGCAAATAAAGCACATCGAGAGAGCTCGTGGGCTGTCATACGTAACACTTGGGCCAGCCCTTGTTGCTGTTGGTGCGTGTAATAACAGTGCTGAGCGGTTCGTTTCCCTTTTATGTGTCCTAAACGAGGCGTTGAACTTGCTAATTGCTCACCTGGTGCTCCCGTAACATATGAGCCAAACTGCGAAGACACCAGTGGTTTAAAGTAACTGGGCTCTTCATGTCTGCTGATCTAATAAGTCAGGTTTCACGACCGTACAGTCGGGTTGAAAGCACAGCTGCATGGAAAACTCTACCCATCAGGAAGAGAGTGATGTCGCGCCGGTGCGATAGGCGGCGAAGGTTAGCAAATATGCCCCAAGCTTCCGCTACACGGTTTGGGGCTTCATCTTCGATTTCACAGGCCCTGATACAACTGCCTAGGTATTTGCATTTTTGCACGTCTTCAGGCTGATCACCATTAAGGGTCAGCGCAGGAAGCGGCGCCTGCCATTCCTGGAGAAAGCGTTGCTCTTTGACAGTGCAAAACAAAGCTCGAAGCCGTCGACAGCCAGTACTACCCTGTTTAGTGCTGCTTGGCACGTTTGTGCGCTCGTTCCAACCAGTTCGACGAGCTCTACTCAGTGCTTCCCAGCTCTTGGTCTAACCTGTATGGATTATACTCTTGCTCCACTTCCCAGTTTGTAGCATATTCCTTGCCGAGTACTACGTGTGTAACTACATCAAACTGGTTTTTCAGGAGAGATTTTAGTCCCATTCGAAAGAAGAAGCAGATGGCTCCCAAACTACGCTGCCTCCATCCCCGCAAGTTGCAGTATAACAAGGTTACATTCATTCTGCTTCGCTCATCAACTGAAAGGCTCTAGGGACGCTTATCAGCGCTTTACTCGCATCGATTGCTCAATGAACACGACAGTCTGCGCGTTACGACCACCATCTGTCTCGACCGCCTGATCTTGGTGTAGTTGAACATTCGCAATTCGTGTACGTGTTTTTACGTGTCGGTGCGTCACGCTTGGCACAAAACCAATCAGCATGTTGAGCGCTCAGTTGGGCCTTGCCGCACACGATACGGGGACGACTAGGTTTCCAATTGTACAAAGTTCCTTACGTTGCGCAGACAATTGGAGTAAATCCCTTAAGGTCAGAGTAACCTGTTCTAGCTGCTTAAGCTCAGACTTTCCGCAA